CCATAAGTACAGCAAGTGTATTTAGAAATAAAGCTAATACACAAAAAAAACAGAGATTTTTAAAAAAGCAACAAAAAGTGAAGAAAAACTTAAAACTGCAGCAAAAAATGTGAAATTAATTTTGTTCTGCGTTAAAAAATAAATCCAAAACAAATATGTTTAATTTCATAAGTAATTTATAAACATAATGAAATTTTGCCTAATTTGATTTACACAAAAGGTAAATGTAATAAATATATTGTAAACCTTAAATTAATATTTACAACAGCGATGGCAAAAATTCTGTTCAGAAAGGCGTGCATAATTGTTATTATATTAAACAGACACACATAACTAAGTTTAAGTTTATAATTTTCGTTATCTTTATTATTTACTTATTATGTTTTAAACGCAAAAAACCAGATATATACAATATATTTACGAATTAAACGTTTATTAATAAAATTAAAAATATTTTAGTTAAATCGTTTGTTTTTCGTTTGAATTTATTATCACCACAGGAGGCTTTCCGTTCACACATTGCAGAAGATAAGAAAAAATATGAATATTAAATTAAGCACAGTCTAACAATTGCAACAAGATACTTAATACCATTATACGCAATAGTTATAATTGACAGATGACAGAAATATGAATACTAAACTAAACAATAGCCCAAAGTAAATATTGGCCGTGATAGGAGTTCAAAAAAAACCTTCTAACACGGCCAATATTTGCTCCATTTTCACATGCAAGAGATGAGCAACAACAATTGGCACTCAACAGATGCAATTACCAACAACAACAACAAATAGAATAACAACAAAAGGCAATTGAAACTTTACTTTCACTTAACTGAGTTCCGATTTTAGTTCAGTTCTTAAGTTCTTACTCTCACCACTTTCGAGAATTTTTTTGGCTCCAACCCACGTAACACTTTTGGAATATTCCGAACCGAAATCAATAATGGCATAAACTAACAAGGACGAGCCAAAGGAATCGTATATCTAAACTCAACACAGCTTCAGGGACCAACTAAAGAAGAAATGATTTAAACAAAAATTAAATAAACAACTGGTAATTAAAACTAAAATGTGAGCACACAAGTGTGACAAAAAAACTAAATCTAACAAGAAGTTTTGAGGCATATCTGAAAAAGGGGAGAAAAAATCTAAAAAAAAAATGTCGAAATTTTGAAACTATGCAAAATTATAAAGACCCAGAATATCGTATGTGTGTACATAAAAGAAGGAGCAACCCTTTTGGTAATCTATATACATATATTATATATATTTAGCGTGTCAAAAATAAATCTAAAGGAACAAAAAATATCTTTATGCAAAAAATATTTCAGGCAAAACTTTGGATAATTTCGGAATAAAATTGTATATGTAAGACAAAACTGTATACGATATGCGAAAAAAATTTAAACTAAAAATGGACTAAGTGTAAAAACATACAACCGAAAAAGACCCCTTAATTTAAATAGTTCTAATTATTATTTCGCTTTGGCGTGGACCTTTTGTGTAAATAATGAAATCGACACACACGCGAATGCCAAGTGGGATTCTCGACAAATCGAATATCAAATGAAAAAAGAAAGAAAAACCAACCAAAATATGGTAAATTCAAGTTAGCAAAATTTTTGTCAACAAAAAAATGACCTAGTAAATGCTAAATTCAAATTTATAGTACATATTTGTGTATGTATGAGTGTATTGCATAAGTTTGATGTGAGTGTATAACAATTATTATTAACATTATACTTACCAATTTCGTTTCCAAGTTATTTTGTTCGTAAACAAAACAAAGTCTAAAACTAAATTTAAAGCCAATAATAAGAACAACAAAAACATGTGCTGAAGTGCTGAATTCCAATTGAATTGCAACCAAAACAAAAAATGACATTAACACAAGTAAAACATTTCGAACTAACTCAAATGTATGGCAAAAACATTGTAAAAAAGTATAAAAAAAACAGATCAGTTGAGGATGACACGGATACGGGCAAAAATTGCTTAAGGAAAACATAAGATTTGTGTATATGTGAACAGAATGAACAAAAATAGCAGGTATACAATAACTGTCAGAAACCAAACTACAGAAATGAACAACTTGCAGGCGAGACAGAGGAGACACAAGCCCCAAACAAAACTATTAACTTGTAATGATGTGAACTTGGAGCATACTCTCAGTATTTTTATGAATACTGTCAATAAAACATTAATAAAAGATTAAATAGGTATTTTTAATTATGATTGGGGTAAAATGGTCAAAATTAAAAAAGGGGTATGTATATAAATATACTTTTTTAAACAATTTTTATCCAGTATTTACTTTTAAATAAACCAATTTCTATATAAGCCGTTTCTATTATCCAGTTATTTCTTTTATTCTGTTTTTTTTACAAATAATTTAAAAATTTTTCCAATAAATACCTTCTTTTTTTGTCAAATCAAAAATTTCACTTTAATGTAATGAAAAATTTCCAAATGAACTTTATTTCCGACTTGTTCAGATTATCGTTAATGTTTTAATAGTTTAATAAAATAGTTTGTGTTTTTTTACTAAAACCCTTTTAAAAATTAACGCAAAAAGTATTTCCTTTGCTGTCAATTCAAAAATTTAATTTCAATGTTATGAAAAATTCCCAATGGACATTATTTTCGACTTGTTCAGATAATCGTCAATGTTTTTATAAAAACCAGAGAGAAAAAAAAAAATAAAAGAACTAAAAAAATTGGTTGTAAAATCAAGCCTCTAAATTCGAAAGCCTTTAAAATGACCATCCAAAGACTGAAGTGCGACCTTAGTCCGGAGGTGACCACCTGTCTGCGGCTGAAGGACAGTGTCCGTCCGGATTGCTGTCCCATCCGGGATCCGATCCCCTACGATGGTGAGTGTTTTGTGCGGGATATTGGCAAGGAGCTGGAAAAGTTGTCCCGTCGCCATGAGCGCATGTTTGTGAAGCGCCAGCGGCTAATGGAGATGGCGATCCCCAAACGCCGCCACTGCCGCTTTGTGCCCAAGTGCGCCTGTCCCTTTCCCAAGTCCATCGAAATGGTGCGTCCCTGTGATGTCCAGAGTCACACTCGCACAGAACAACTGGCTCTGCCCACCGTTCGCAGGCTGCTCCAACGGCGGCGGACCGCCATCCTCGCCGGCGATTCCATCGGCGAGTCCATCCTGAACAGGTGGCTGCGCTACAGCTACCTGTCGCTTTACAGTCGTCTCTCGAATGTCCAGCCCCTGGTAAAACCGTAAGTATACTTCCCATATACGAACAAGTATAGGTCTGTAAAAACATCAATTACTATGGAAACTTATCTGGAGAATCATATGTTCCACTTTAGAACATATCATAGAAATTTATTGAAACATTAACCCAATACGTATACAAATATATTATAATCGAATTAAAAAAATAAACAAGAACCACTATGATGATCTTAATTTGAAGCAAATTAAAAAGTAAAAATAAAACATTTTAGTAAGACTAACTCGTTTAAATAAAGAAAATATTTCGAACCTGTTTTTGCACCTAAAACTTTAAATTTTCTTTATAACATTTTTTTTATTGAACCTCATCAAATTTTCATTTATAAAAATATTATTAAAATATATTTTGTTATTCATTCTTGATTATCTTGGATTTCGCAGAAAGAAAAAGAAGAAAAAGACGGAGAAGCAGTTGGCTCGACACGAAAAGTACATCGAAAAGTTGGCGCATCCAAAGAAAGCCCCAAAACCCCCAAAACCGGTATGTAACTAATGCAATGCAATTTGCAAATAACACTCTTTTTGAATAGTTTTTAATAATATCTCTGAGAGGAATACCATTTTATCGATTTCATTTAAAATCAAAAGTAACTTTTAATCCAATACATTTATAAGAAATTTATTTTAATTATAGTTAAGTACAAAGTAAAAGTATTAAAAGTACTAAAAAGTATTATTTGCCCTGTATAGAAACGATCGGCTGGGGAGATCGACCAGGAGCGGCTCAAGAAACTGGCCAGCCCCAAAGCCTTTTTGGAGGAGCTCAAGCCCAAATGGGAACTGACCTCCCAGATGAAGGGCTACAAGGCGACCAAGCGGCTCAAAGAAATATCACAGCCTGTTATGCGGGAAAACGTTCACATCAACGAAACACCCGAGAAGGTTTCGCCAAATGCCCTCAAGTACAAGCGTAAGTTTTTTCCTTAAAAATATTTCTTCTATTCAAACTTATTTATATACATATATATATATATATTTATTAAATCCAATCAAATAAATCTAGAGTTAGGCAATGTTTTTTAGGTTAGTCTAAAATTAATCAGCGAAACATATATTATTATTGTGAAATTTCAAAAAGTAAATAATTATATATAACACTATTGGTTGTTATTATTATTTACATGCAACTTTTTCAGCTAACCATAAAGGTGTCTTATTTCTTAATTATTAAAAGTTTAAAATGTCAGCAATAAATATTAAATAATTTTTGTTTGCTAATTTTTTTTTCCATCTGAACATGATAATGATCAATGTAATAATGATGACTAATTTTTAAACTTTTACCTTTAGCGAGTGCGCGCATCAAGGAAATGTCGGAGCCGCTGACGATACGCGATGCCAACCAAGGAATGGCGGACGTCAAGGAGAATCCCTTCGGGATCGCCCCCAATGCGCTCAAGTACAAGCCGAGCACGCGGATCAAGGAGCTGGCGGAGCCCAAGGAGTTCGAGAACACGCACATCCGGGAGAATCCGTTCGCCATTTCGCCGGCGGCTCTAAAAGCCAAGGCCTCGCCACGCCTCATCGAGCTGGCCAAGCCCAAGGGCGGTTAGGTCCATCCGGACTAGGCCAAATATTTGGTGTCCTACAATTTGCGTTTTGGCTACGTTTGGTATCGAGTTTTTCATTAAATTTGTCTTTGGTTTTCAAAAATATTTTTGCGTTTTTCTAAGAATTTGTTTTAAAAAGGTTTTGGGTCATGCAAATTGGGATAAACTTTGAAAAGGTATATTTAATAAATATTTGATATATTTTTATTCATTTATTAAAGAATTAAAATTTTTAAGTTTTAGCTCTTGACTTTCTTGGCATAAGATCTAAACCAAACCCTTGATTTTGAAGTCCAATCGGTCAACGAAAGATGACAGAGATCTGAAGATGTTAGGAATAATCTTCTGATCTCTATCATCTAACATTGTTCTTTATTTTCGACTTAGCAAAAACAATGTAACGACAGATGGCAGGGATCTGGAAATATCTGCACTGCTCCCAGATAATCTTCCGATCCCTAGCAATTGCCGTTGACCTCATGTTTTTGGCTTGGCCAATAGCTGAAGACGTGATGTAATCTTGGCCCGCAAAGCACGTCCTGAAACTTGAAATGGTTTCTTCCGAATGTCACTATCCTCACGCAGCTTGGGCTTGGCCAGATTTCTAAGGCGCTTTGTGGTTCTCTTGCGGACTTGATTTTTCCTTGGAACCATTCCAGGCGCTTCCTGTTGGTCCCTAATATGAGGCCTTGCCAGGTAGTGAATCCTTGGAGTGGCTGCAACATTAATTTACATTTTTTTTTAAATATTAAAATACTTTTTATAAATCAAATAAACAATTTTCAGTCTCACCTTTGTAATGCAGTGCGCTTAATGAAATCTTATAAGGATCATACGTTCTCTTGAAGGATTTTTTTGTTCTCAGCAAACAATTGGTTTTAAGTAATTTCATTTCCTTGGACAGTTGCCAAGGCTTTTCTCTGGATTTCTTTCCTCTTGTCCAATTTTTGAAAAGCTCCTGCAGTCGATCAGAAGATGAGTTATAGTTGGAAGAACACATTTCAATATTATCCAATTCTCCAGAGGAGTATAAGCTTTTTTGTCCCGCCAAAAGGTGCTTTTGATTTCCTTTTCTGTTATGGGGAAAACCGTAAAAATTTACTAAACCAAGAAAGCAAAAATAGCATTTTGATTTCAAAAGTCTCAGTGGCCAAAAGTATGTTGTCATTATATAACACACATCCACCTACTTAAAATACATATGTATGTCAATAGTCACCTTTTGTTTGGTAGGAACTTTTTTAAGGGAACACTTTTTTGGTATGTATTAGCAATGATTTTTTGACTTTGTGGATGCTTCTTCAAAGTTTTCCTAGGCAAAGGTCTCTGTTTTACCACAAAAAGAACTAAAAATTTCAATACATACTGACGTCTGGAGGGGATTGGTGGCTTTTTGCTTGTCGAAACTGGCTCCTGTAATTGCTCACCCGATTTAAAATCAACCAGAGCGTTCCGCAGATTTGCCATAGGCAAGAGGTGCTGCCAGGAAGGATTACCATGCTGAAAGTGCTGGAGTAGTTGCGAATAGCGATGAAACAACCTATTCCAGAATGGTGGTGGCGCCTGCCTGCGATAGTTCGACATGACAGCTCACAAAAGGCAAACAAAGTTTCTCAAATATTTTTGGGTTTTTTTCTTTTGTTTGTATTACTTAAAATTTAGACAGCTCAAACTGACAATGGCTTTTAAATAATAATTAATTTAGATTTGAGTTTATTGTTATCTTTCTCACAGCTCCAGTGGAGTGGGTCCACTCAAAGCCGTCCGCTATCAGTTAAATTGGTTTAGCAATATCATTTGTTTTTGAATTCTTTTTTTTCCTTTTGCTTTTCAACAAGATAAACATAAAGTATAGGTCGGCCGTAAAATGGGATCTTTGCAAAATCAAAAGAGAGAAAAAAATAATACATAAATAATTACAACGTAATCAAGGACCAATGTATGTTACTGCCAATTGGTAAAACTAAAGAATTCGCGACTTTGGATTCGGGGGAGGGGCGGATCTTGGGGCTTTTCAATTGGACTAAACTTAAATATTCGCCGGAAATAATACTCAAATGAATGCACTGAAGACATCGGGACAAATAAAAAATTGGACGTAATAAGGAAACTATGAACTTTCAAGGTGTTTTTTCAACAATTCAAATTTAGCTGTGGCAACAACAGAAACTGTCTAATGTCGATTAAATAAGCGCCAACGTTGTTGCCCCTGATGGAGAAAATTAGCTGATCGCGCCGGCGATGACAACTGGAGCCCGTCTAGGACATGCTCTGGATAATGGCGCGGGTGAAATCCTGCGTGGTCGACTGTCCGCCCAGATCCTTGGTGCGCACCTTGCCGTCCATCAGCACCTTGTTGATGGCATTCTGGATGGTCTCCGCGTAAGTGGGCAGGTTGATGTGGCGCAGCAGCTTCGTGCCGCAGAGCAGCATGGCAGTGGGATTGGCCACGTTCTTGCCCACAGCCTCGGCGAAAGTGTGACGTGCACCCTGCAGTATGAAATCAAAATCAGAGATAAGTGTGTGAAGTGGAAGTGCTACAGTCGAGGGTGTCATAAATCAAGGTTTATGGCAGATTAGGCTACCAACTCACAGTATTCTGGCCTATTCTAAAACACCAGTTTAGGTGGGAGCACTATTTTTATAAAATAGTCAAATTAAAACTAATATTTAATCTTAAAAGCCTATTTAATCCTTCTCCTTTCTATATTTTTTTGGTTAAACAAAAAAATTATTTATAAAAAAAAAAATATAATCTAAAATAAATAAAGGTAATTTTAAAAAGAAATTTAAGAAACAAAAGGATTCTATATATTAAAAATTGTTTTGCTGGTTAACGATATTTTTAGTCAAAATTTAATACACCCTTCTAGAACTTTAATGTAAGGTTTATCTTACCGGCTCGAAGACCACGGTCTCCGAGGAGTAGGAGGCACCAGCCACGACACCAGCGCCGCCCACAAGACCACTGGCCAGATTGTCCACGATAGCGCCATAAAGATTGGGAGTGACCATCACGTCGAACTGGTTGGGATTGGAGACCATCTGCATGGTCGTGTTGTCCACGATCATCTTCTCGAACTGGATGCGCGGATAGAGCCGGGAGACCTCTTCGCAGCAGCGGAGGAAGAGGCCATCGCCCAGCTTCATGATGTTGGCCTTGTGCACGGCAGTGACCTTCTTGCGCTGGTTCTTCGTGGCATAGTCGAAGGCGAACTTGGCGATGCGCATCGACTTTTTGGCGGTGATAATCTTCAGACACTCCACAATTCCGGGCACCGACTCGTGCTCCAGTGCCGAGTACTCGCCCTCGGTCTGCTCGCGGATAATCACCGTATCGATGTTGGTGTGGCGCGTCTTTACGCCGGGCAAACTCCGGACATGCACCACGTTGGCATAGAGGTCCAGATCGTTGCGCAGCTTCATGTTGAGGGTCTGCAGGTCACCCACATTGCTGTAGTCGGGTGTGGCCAAAACGCCCTAAAGAAGATCGGTTAGAGTTTTTCAAGCTGCTTGGTCTGGTGCAAGCTCACCTTAATGCACACTTTGTTCTTCTGGATGGAGGCCACCACATCCTCCAGCTTGGCACTCAGCACCGGATTGATTTCGGAGAGGAAGTAGCACTCGAAATCCACGGGAACACTGGCTGCCTAAAAATAAGATAAGATTGTTACGCAAATTTTGTATTTATTTTAAAGTTAATGATTTAAACGAATCATCTTATCAACAATCTGCTTTCAAGAAAGATAAATCTGGCCTTATTGATTTTGATTTAAAGTGTTTAAATATTGTACATTTTACAAAAAGTATGGAGTTTTTATACAATACAATTGATTAAATACTGAACCACTAAAATCTCTATCAGTAATCAAAACATAAATAAATTACGACTGACATAACGCAATACAGGAAATCGATTTTTAACATTTTTCTTGATATTTATCAATCTTTATAAGGTATCCTTTCAAATATTTGTATTATACTATATGGTTCTATTCTTTTCTATAAATTCCTTGATTGACACCAATGGATGTTTATAATTTAGGTATATTGACTATGAAATCTTGATGGTTATGGTATGTCAAATAAATAATTTTTGAATACCCACATTTTGGAAACCAATGGATGTTTACAATTTAGGTTTTTGACTATGAGGTTTCTAAAAAGTTTCAATACAAATTTCGTATAGAGGGAGGGATCTTGATGGATAGCTACCTTGAAGACCTCCTGGAGCGAGTAGACCAGCTCGGGACCCACACCGTCGCCGGGAACCAGTGTGCAGGTGGTCCTGTTGGCACCGAAGTTATCCTGTAAGATGTAAGTGGTTTTCGTTACCTATATAATCGCCCACAAAATATCGAATAAAACTCACCGAAACCCGGGCCGCCGACGTGGTGTGCAGACCACGTGCTGCCGCAGCCTAAAATGGGATTGGATATATATGGAATTAGGGATCAAGCTAGCTAGGATTATAACCTCAAAAAAAAAAAATAAGAAGAACTGGGGCCCCAGTGCAAAAATATTCGCTTAGCGCGTCGCGGGCAAGTGTTTATGTAAGAGCTGCCGGAATCGACGGGTATTTACCTGCATGAAGGTGCGTCCAACGGTTCTCGCCAGCATCGACATTTTGCTAATCGATTCGCTAGATATTCCGGCTGTTGCTCAAAAATCAAACGTGAATCCTGTTGACACGGGAAATTTGATTGCGATGTGATTTTGCTCCGGTGCCAAAACCGAAAATTTCAATAGGACCAAATCGACCACGCAAATCAGCTGATTGTCTCTGGCCTACCAGGGCTGGCGGTAGCCGCCCACGAATCGGTAGCCACCAGGGCTGGGTAATGACTGACTATCGATTGATTTGGTGACCGATAGTTAGTGACGAATATGTATGGTGTACAAAAAAATTAATTTTTTGGAAACCACATTTCACCGAGGGTTTGACTACTTTTGCTTTGTTTGTTACTATCAATACCGTTATATATTTTCTAGTTCTTTATTCAACCTTTTCAAAATGCGTAGGAAACAGTTGGGCTTTTCCCCGTAGGAAACAGTTGGGATTTTTGACAAATGTGAAACTCCGATTCGCACGGAGTATATCCACCACAAAGCAAAATATAAAAAACGGATGTTGGATGGATCTATGTGGAAATATGCTATAATGCGCCCATGGAATCAGGCTATTTTAATCATCGATGTTTGGTTTGAAATTATCGATGTTGCTCAACCTCTTTTGTTCCATCACTAACGCCATATTTCCCGGAAATATTCTATTTCGGGGAACGCAGCTTAAAGCACGCCTTTATTTCACAATTATTCCTCGTGGATAAAAATTTATTTTCAGGCGTCAGAAGCCTCTGCAGCAATGGCAATTAATTTGAATAATCAAAGCTTGCAGCGAGGAATTGAGGAAATGGATAAGTTGCACTGCGACCTGGTGGAGATTCTACGGGACAATCATTCCGGTATAAAGCGCGTGCTCCAGAGTATCCACAACCTGCTGAAGGAGAATGACGATGCGCACCTATTCTTTAACCCCAATCTGATCCTCAAGATACTTTCCGTGGTGATCTTTGAAAGCCAAGAAGAAGAAATCCCTTCAAGACGTTGTCTGGTGGCCAACGCTATGGTTTGCGTTCATCTGCAATTGCGCAAGATCCCCGCAGGCGATGGAAAGCTGCTGCTCCAACAGCTCCTAGCCATTGTGACTTCCACTGAACCCCAGCCCTTTGGGGCCCAAATCCTAGTGCACCATTTTGACAACTTCTTGCATTTCATGGGAGAAGATTGCTTCCCCGGACTGTTTGGCGCCATCCATCGAATGAGAAGCAGGCATTAAACATTGTTGAAGTGAAGTAGGATTCGTTGGCTGAATTCCTGGTAGTAAAACAGGCCGAAGGTTACAAAATTATTGGTGCTGAAGAATCTGCAAATAACATTCCACAACTCGAAGGCGTAGTGACCCACAAAAAATGTATTTTTGTACTGGCGTGAGTTGCAAACCAACTTATTCGTTGAAGACGAATAAAGCATTTTACTTTTCAGAGACGGAAAACGAGGATTACCAGCTAACTTGATGGAATTCTAGACTACGCCGTGAAACTTTCGCCATTTGGAGCCGTAAGCTCTCTCGATGGGCATTTATCCGGATTAATATGTATTTTTCTTTGGCCAAAGAAAAACTTACTGCACAAGTAGACCCGTTTTTGCAAACAGCGAATTTGAACCAGATTGAAAACAATTAATACAAAATGTATTTTTTTTTATACGGAATCGAGTTTGCGTTCTGAAAAATATCACTGAATAAAAGCCAAAACGGAATTATGTACCCAAAAAAAGGGAGAACAAAAAAAAATGGAAACCTTATGAAAATTTAAATATAACTGCTAATATTTAATAGCTGAAATCATTCCACTTATGAAGAATCTTTTTTAGTAAAAATGTTTTAATCTTAAATGAGGCCTAGTTTTCAAACACGTCTTCGGCACAAGTAATTCTACATCTTTTGGGAACCAAGTTCGAAGAAAATAGGTAACATTTGGATTTCAAAGCAAGAACATGTTTCGACACCTATAAACTAATCCTTTGCATAATACGCCCACACCAATTGATTCAACTGTTGATAAATAATCAGAGAATGACTGCTGCTACAGCACGAACTCATTTAAAGCAAGAACTTTTAGTTGTTGCTAGTTTGATACAAAATGTATTCGATTGCTACTTATTTAAGCAAACAGTGTAATAATTATAAGGTTGTTGGTGCTAAAAGAATTATAAAATATACAGTTTTTTGTATTTTAAACTTTAAAATATATAAAAAAAAATCGAGTTAACTAGTAAAATTTGTTTGTAGTGTTTTATTTCCTACTATTTTCGATTACTAAACCTTTACTAATCACAATGTTCTTTAGGAAAACCAACAGAAATTTCAGATCAACTAGCAATTGTCGCATCATTTTCAAAATAACGATCAAAGAAACGGGGTTTAATTCACAGGCATTTGACATCTTGAAGAACTCCCTAAAATATATATTGTGTGGTTTTAATAATGGCGTTTCTCTAATATAATTTGTATAATTGAAGCTAAACAAAATGTTACAAATATATATAAGTGTTTTTCTTTTAAACTGTGATCTCTCATTGGACAAATTACATATTGCTGTTTATTTTTTGAATTAAGTGGCTTTTGTTCCGTCTTCTCCCGGACTAATAACAAATAATAAGTGTATCGTTTTGTTTCTGGAGGAAGGGTTTGTGGGACGTAGTCTACAAATACAAAAGGCCACTGGCTGCTGCGTGGGCCATCAGAGTGTTGGCCGCCTGCTGCGTCTCCAGCATGAGCCGGGCCTCCTTTATCCACTCGCTGGCAATCTGGCGGGATGCACCCTGCAGCAGGTTCATGTATTTCAGCGCCTGCAGAAAGTCGCTGCGATCCACATGGTATCTGGGAGAAAAAAGACAAAGCATTAAAGCATTGTTTACTACATCAAATAGACCTTCGAACCTGGCCCGATTTAGGATGTCATAGGTGTCCAGTTTACTGTAGTCGAAGGGTTTGTTCTCGAGTTCGTCCTTGGATATGGGATTATCGGGTCGCAAGATGAACAGCGATTGCAGATAGGACAGGAAGTAGATGGGCAGACCGGCTCCATCCTCTGGCACCAGCGCCAGTCGTCGTGCCACGCGCTCCACGTTAAGGAAACGCTCTCGCAGCGCATCCTCGGGATAGACACCGCGCTCCTGAGCCTCCTGTGGCATGCTCTGCAAGACGGCCGCCACCAAATCGTCGCCCTCTGTAATGGTTATGATATCAGCACTATTTTCGAGTTCATCCAATAAGTATTTGCCAACTTACTGGCCACCTTGGCAATGGCGTTGATCTCGTTCTTCAGCGGACGCAGCTTCTCCTTGTAGTGCACGCCAGGAGTGGCAGTGCGCACGGAGGCCCACAGAGCTTGACAAGCGGCCCACAAGGCCTGTGCCTGATTGGCAGTACGCTCTGCATCCGCACGCTCTGCGGAAGATTACATTTGATTGCCAATTAAAATAAAACGATTGTGTCTTGTAACAGCCTTTTAACAGGAATAAATAATCTACTACTATAAAAACAATTATAAATTAATAGTATTTTTTTTAAAGAAAGCAAGCTACTATAAAAAATGGCAATCATTCAGAATAAAAATAAAATGTATTTATAATAAATAAATGCATTAAACACAATTGTTAAGATATTACAACAATTTTAAAATCAATACTCATATAAAAACAAATAAAAATAATTGTGTCTTCAAATTCTTATAAATAAAATGAAGAAACTAAGATTTAAATATTAAAAAAAAACAGCAGAATACAAATTATGAGCATAAATAAATGAATTTACTTTTTTTACAATGAAAATACCTTGAAACTCATCCTCAATCTCTAAGGTAGCAGCATGTTTCAGAAGATTATGAAAACGATTATATTTCTATTATAGCCTACACTAGCTTAAGGCAAATTAAAAGTTATATAGTTGGCAACACTCACCTGCTAAAGCCGCATCCATGCCGCGCAGCTTGCCCAGCATGGCGGCCAATTGTAGCTTATAGTTGGCCTTCTCGCTGGCCAGCTTGTCCTCCAGCTCGCGCTTGAAACTGCGCGTGAGGTCGGTCTCCCGCTGGGCCACGATGTCCTTGATGTGGTCGGCGTGGGCCTCCGCCTGCTTTTTGAGCTGCAGGCGCAGCTGCTTGTCCGACTCGGCGTGGATGTGGAAGATTTTCTTCTGGTTCTCCACGGCCAGCTTGCGTCGCTCGGCCTCCAAATGGTATTCCAGTTGGGCGCGCAGAGCCTCCGAATCGTTGTCGCCGCGAACCGAGTCAATGGCCCGCTTCAGGCGCAGCTCGCCGTCGGTTTGCAGGCGCTGCAACTCCTTTTGGTAGGCCAGGACATGGGTGTAGGCATGCAGGATGAACAGGTCGAGGTCCTCCTTTGACAAGTTAAGTTTCTTGTCCGCCAAGCTGAGGCCGGGGAAAATAGACTCGATCTCGTCAATGAAATAGTTGCGCGCCTTCTCCACATTGCGCCAGTACTTGTCCGACACGCTGGCAGTGTCCTTGTGCCGGTAGAGCTCATCCTTCACGTTGCCTATGTGATCCACCAGCTTCTTGATTTTGTCGCGCACAGCCTCCACTTTTTTTGAGTTCTGCGCCGTTGCCGCTGCACTCAGGGCGATCTCGCAGGCAACTGTAATGGATGGGAAAATAACAAATTGGTCTTTACAATTTGTACGGATGCTGGGCTTACTTATCTTCTCCTGGGCCTCACGCGCCGCTCGTTCCGCCGTGGCCACCGCCGTGTCACGGGCACTGGCGCGATTCTTAAGCGTGGTCCAAAGCGAGTTCTCTCCATTCTCCACCGCCTTGTCCACCACCTTGCGCACATCATCATTGAAGCTGAAAAACAAATCTTAATTAGTATCAAGACGCTTTGGCCAATTTTATTTTGTCTACATGAGGTAAGAGTTTTAAAATAAAACCAATTATTGAAGACCCTAACTGTGAGATATGCGCTCTATAATTAGAATTCTTATATTGAATAATTTGCAATGTATGATGAAATTATCTTTGGGTAGTCATTATAAATTATGGAAAAAACGCATTTTAAATCTGTGTAACCTTGAATTTATATTATGTTCTTACCCCTTCAACACGGATATGGCGCTGTTGTACTCCTTGACGGCCAGTTGGGCGGCCAGCTCGATGGCCTTCTCCAACTCGACGACCTCGCGGGGCAGCGGCTCATCCTTGGGCTTGGGAGCGGGCGCAGGTGCTGCGACTGGCTTCTCGGGCTTCGCCGCTGGCTTTGCTTCCGTCTTGCTGACCTCGGCGGTTTTCGAAGCCTTCTTCTCCTCGGCAGGAGTGGCCTTCAACGGCTCCACTTTGGCCTTCTTGGTTTTGTCATCACCGCTGCCGCTGCCGCCGCCAAACAGACCCGTCACCTTGGAGGTAACCGAGTCTACGGTGGAGGTCACGGTCTCGAAGCCAGACTTGACCTTGTCGATCTGATCGTTGACGTTCTTGGTGATGCCCTTAAAGGGCGGCTCCTCCTGCAGCGCCACTTTGATGATTGTACCTGAGCCGGGCACATTCTTTTCCACCAGTTTACGGAAGTCGTCGTCGTATCTGAATTACATTTATATATCTGATCAATTGTTTGTTTTGGATAAAGTTATATTAACAACAAAAATTTTGAATGTCAATAAAATACACTTAGGATCATTTTCATAAATATTTATATTTTGCATCCCGGTTCCTTGTGATTTAAAAGTGAATTTATTTAAAGCAAATTATCTAAATATGAAGGGTTGTATTTAAATATTTTTAAAAATAAATAATAAAAATCACAAATTGACAGATGTTACAGGATCCTGAGTATAAGGCTCAGATTCCTGAACTTAAAAAGATTAATAACAGTTTAACAGCAGATGTTGCAACCTATCTGCATCATTAGAATCTCGGTATCATCCGCTAACGGAGTTAAGTTATATATATTAACTGACTGATCATGTGAAGATTAAAGTTGTGCAGAATAATGAGCGTGATATAGTGAATAGATCTGCATCATAAGGACATCAATTATAAATTATGTTTACTTGGCATAGGTGATGACTCCGCCGACGGCCGCCAGTGGGGAGACGAAGAGCACCACTTTGCCGAAGCCAGCTTCGCGCATATTCGGTGGCGGCGGCAGGCTCTGGTATCCTTGATGTCCTTGTTGCCGCCGGCCTTGCTCCCTGCTCCCATTTCCGCTGCTGCTTCCGCCAAACTGTCTGCTGTTTGTGGTGCTCTGTTGCAGCGTACGCTGTGGAAATCAAAGGCTAATTATAGGATATACTATAAACAGGACTTGGGACAGCCCGCAGACACCACCGCGACCGGTCACAGCTGGAATTTTGGAGCTTTTCGGCCAATTCCTGGGCTTTGGAGATGACATAACCAGCGCCTCTTGTTGTATTTCTGCCAACCGCTTGTTTGTGGGCGCGCGGGGGTGGGTGGTCAACGTGACGATCGATTTTCGCGTTATCAAACAGCTAGAAAAAAGGAACAAAACTCACCTGCAGGGCGCACTTGCACTGATCTCGCACCGCTAGCCGATACATGATGTTGATTCGCACTGATCCTGCTGCTCCTGCTCCTGTTGCTCCTTCGGCTCCCGTGAATTTTTAGAGACCCGGCGGCGTGAATTAAATTTTGCCCAATTCGTTCGAAGCTGGCTCGACTGCGTCAGCGCTGGTGGGTGAATGGCTGGCCAGTGCTGCTGCTTCCTCTTCCATCCCACACAACCACACGCACACGAGTCCTGCGTCCTGCTCGTCCCTTTTGTCCCGTTAGCTTGGCTTCGTTGGCTCTTCTGTAATTTAATCATTCAATTTTGTATTGTGTTTTGACGGTAAAAGTGTTGGCAACATATACGCTTTTACACGATAGCCCAGTTGAGATACATTTGATTTAGGGATGGTCGCGTGACGAAGGTTTTAGGTAGGTCACGACACACAGTATTTTGTGAAATTTGAAATGCCTTAAAATGTCAGTCGTTAATTAAATAAAGAGTGAAAACTCGATTTTGTAATGTTTTTTTAATTCATTCTTTCGAGTTAGTATTGTAGTTTGATTATAATTGTAATACCTACTTTTTGCTAATCGAGATTATGTTATCCGTCGTAGGACATTTAAATCATTCTTCTGCTAAGACGAATTTTGTGTTTAAATTATGATTTAATTAAATTAAAATATTCTGTCATCTTCTTAGTAACTTTGAAGATGCTTAAAAATTATCCTCAAAAGCTTTGTATGTTGCATGGAAAAAAGTTAAGAACTTATAAGAATAGTACAACAACATTTTATAGATTTGTTTTGGTCTTGATAACAAATAATTTTACTTATTGGGAATTTACCCCATGTATTAGTTTTAGAGCGATACTTTAAGCACGACCTGTGTCCATCTCTAATTCACCTGCGACAGTGGGAGTGTTCTTCACAGTGAACGGCAATCAGCTGACCGACTGTTACGCGACCCGAGAAGAAGAAGAGCAGTTCCAATTGTGTATGGAATTTTAGATTTATTTTAGTTTTTTTGTGGATTCAAGTGAGTGAAATGCTTAAAACCTTTGTTACAAGCGGTAAGTGGATATCTTTCTGTATGTATCAAATATAGACTTTTTTAACAATCGTACAAATTACAGCGCTGCGCAGCGTTTGCCGCCAGCCGCCGGCTGCATCAACGCTGATTCCTCTGGTCCTGCGAACACAACGTGCTAGCATGGTGACTTTATCACGTCCCAGCCTGCTACCCGCTCCCTCGCTGGCGTCTCCCGCTCCTCTGCAGCTTCTACAGCTGCCTGGGGGTCTGGCGGCTACAGGATCACCACCAACCACTCGCAACGTGACCAAGTTCTCGCTGATCAAGGGAAAACGAAAGACATCAAAGGCGGTTCTAAAGCGATTCAAGCGTTTGGACTGGGGCGCCTGGATACGCACCCATTCCGGTCGGCAAAAGAAGCTGTTCAAGAAGTCCGGAGCACTGCGCCGCCGCCTCAAGCAGCACGTCTTTACCAACGCCACGCAGAGCTGGCTGCTGGACAAGATGGTCACCAGCTTCTGGCGCCGGCCCAAGCACTATATCGACGATCCCTACAGGCCCTATCACAGTCGCAATGAGTACTACGCCACACAGTCGAAGACCTTTAAAGTCTAATTTTTGTTAATTAAATGATAATAACATACTCTATTCGTTAGTCTTTTTAGGCTGGTTTCTTTATATCGGAGTATATGTTTAAAAAGATAAATTAACCTGCTAAAGAGTAGGTTTTTGTTGAATTTTAAATTATCATTAATTTGGAAGACGGACTTAAGCATGTTTAGTGGGCTCACAAGGGCTAAAAGGCCTGCAAGTTGAAACATACTTACGCCGACGCCCATTCGCATTCAAAACCAAAACTCATTGATTAAATGCCATTGTTTCATAAACAAGAAATAACTATACATGCATAACAAACTATATGGGGAATGACGACCTTAGGGGGCCACGATCTTGTTGCAGAGCTTGCCCAATCCGACGATCTCCGACTGAACTACATCGCCGGGCTTGAGGAATTCCGGCGGACTGCGGTGCATGCCCACACCCTTGGGCGTTCCGGTGACGATGATGTCGCCCGGCAGCAGGGTGATGGTCTGCGACAGCCGGTTGATCACATCGTCCAGCTTGAAGATCAGATTACCGGAATTGCCGTTCTGCTTCTCCACGCCGTTGACCCAGGTCTTCAGATTCAAGTTGTAGACATCCGGCACCAGGCTCTTGTGCACCACGGCCGGTCCCAGTGGCAGGAATGTGTCCATCGACTTGCCGATAAGGAACTGACCGCCATTCCGCTCCTTTTGCCAGTCGCGGGCGGAGATGTCCTGGGCCACAGTGTACCCGAAGACATAGTCCATGGCCTGGGATTTGGGCACCTGGCGGGCGACCTTGCCAATGACACAGACCAGCTCCACCTCCCAATCGATTTTCTGCGGAAAGTTTTCGGGTAATCTCGACGGGGCTATCTCTTGTTATCTCATATTCTACATACATTGCTGGCCGAGTGGGCGATGACATTATCTTGGGGACCAACCAAAGCGTTGTTGAACTTGCTGAAGAACATGGGCTCCTTGGGAGCCGGTTTGTTCTGCTCATCGCAGTGGTCCTGGTAGTTCAGACCTATCCAGAGATATGATTAATTTTTAATTAATTTTTGGAGGTCAAGGTCCACACAATCCACTCACCGATGCAGATGATCTTGCCGGGATCGGTGAGAGGTGGCAGCAATGTGACATCATCGTTGACCTCCAGTCGCGGCTGCTTTTCCGCCTTTTTGGCCAGCTCCTCCAGATTGGGATTTTGGGCAATCAGTGTCTTCAGATCACTTGGCACGCCCTCCAAGCCGGCGAATTCCACCAACGACTTCTGATCCTCGGATAGAAGGCCCAGTCGCTTGGCGAAGTCGCCCTTACGCAGGTATTGCACGAACCTCATTCTGGCAGCTAGCATTTATGACTGATTTAGGTGGATCGCCACGATCGGTGCTTTTCAATTAACTCTCCAGTTGCCAAACACGATTCTCACGTAATGGGAACAGCAACAAAAAGCTAAGCAGAACGCCATCGTTTCTTAACACTGCCAGTATGCCTTTCGACCAGTGCTATAAAGCGGCAGAAAAGTACACTGCCAAAAATGGTCTTTAAGCTTTAGATTTTTGGAAATTAATAATTAGACGTAAGCATCTCCTAAAGAGTTATGGAAATCCATACAAAATATATGTATGTTGCAACGAGAAATTATTATACATTACAACAGGGTTTAAAATCTTTAAAAAGAAACACTTTGCTTTGGGGTGTTCAGAAGTCAGAAATGAAAGTTTATTTGAGGACAGAGAAGGAATTCACTACTCGCCCACAACGGTTTAAACGCATTCAACTACAACTCCAGTCGCATCCGATAACTTAAGCCGATTTTGTACAGATACCGATCATCTTAATATGCAATTCATCTAGTCGCTACCGGCGGTCACTTTGCCTCCATCGCGGTCGCCAAATTTCTCGGTCAGCTCGAACCTCCAGCGCATGTAGGCCACTCGCATCCTGTCCCAAACGTTGTCCACGGAGTCCATGGCAGGACGCACGTCCAGCAGAGCGAAGCGGTAGTCCTTGTCCACCAGACCGCCGTCGTAATAGTCGATGACGTAGCGCACATCCTTGCCGCAACGATCGACGATCCAGTCATGTCTATCAAAAGGCAGCTCATATCTGAAATGGAGTTCGTAAAATAGGATGTTTAATTCAGGTAGGAGGTTCGTGTCGTGCCCTAAATGTATACTAAACGACCAAATTTTTTTTGATTTTAAGACATGTTGGTGTAATTTATCTTTTACATCTTGATTGTAAGCTATAAGTATCTCCCAAACTTTAGATAAAAGACTAACAATTTTAATGTGGTTGTAGACAAAATTTAAGACCCAAAAGAATTTTTTTTTCATATTAAAAAATGCCTCATAACAAATTTATCTTATGATTAATAAGATTATATTTTAGCCATGGAGGTAGATAAAGAAAAATTAGTTCAATTTCAAATCGACATGCGCAGGAAAAATGGATTTAAAATTTTTTTAAGATTCTGACTATTATTTTTATAAGCTGGCATAAACACTTTTGAATGTTGTGCAAAATCATTAAATTAAAAAATTTAGTCGCTTCATAATGAAGCTGTATAATTAAGAAATATTACTTTTCTGGTCCTAAATTTAATTAAATTAACCGTTTAAAATTAATATTAGCATTTATCTAATGGTCAATAAGGAAAACTTAAAAATGAAATTATAAAAGCGAACCACTCACCCCAGCCAGCTGCGGAAGCGGGCACGTGGACTGAAGTCCTTGGCCTTGCCGCCAAAGCTCTTGAGGCGCGGATTGCCGCACTCCTTGGCGTGCAGCGCCTCCCACTTGAGCACCTCCTGCCAGGCCTGTTCGTTGTTGGCGTTGTGGATGCGGATGATGTCGCCCATGTCCTTCTGCGAGACATCCTCGGTCTTCCAGCGCCAGCCCTTGCGGAGCATGGCGTTCCAGAACATCTGCTGGCTGGGGTATTGCCAGAACTGGACGCTCCCGTCCTCGGTGACCTTGGGAATGGTCGACGTCTGGCGGTCTGTGGGCAGTGGGAAGGGCTGATCCGGCGCTGGCTGTTGGTTGGCCGGCGGCATCATGTTCAGCGGATTCACATCGCTGTTGTCGTGCTGCACCGGACACTCGGATGCCGACTGCATCTTGGGATGTGGTGGCACGGCGGAGGCGGACTTCGCCGCATTGCCATCTCCGTGCTTCTGGTGCATGGGACATTCCGGCGGCGGAGAACCGGCTGCTCCGCTCATGTACTTGGCATGGTCCACCGGCACACTCTTGGTGGCCTCCATCTGCACCCGGGTGATCGCTGTGTTGCCCATTTCTTCTGGGTATTGCTCAAAAACAAAATCTGTGTCACGAGGAAAATCCTATTAGTTCGTTCAGTTGCGTAACTCCAAGGGAATGGATACACTCCAAATGCAAGGCTCCTTGGCCAGGACTTACCTGATCCTCTCGTTTACAAGTCTGGGTATATGTCTATCTGTTCCTGGAGCCCAGTCGCTTACAATTTTGATTTATATATATTAGTTAGTTCATCGTTAGAACGTTGGAGCCCAAAATGCAGCAAGGTTGTGGTCAGGGTTGCCAGACCGCTGGAAAGCGAATAAATTCTTACAGCTGTTTGAAAATATGAAAAAATTTACAAAATATGAAAAAAAAACGCTAGCAGCAGATGGCGAGTTTCCTGACAGTCTATTGATAATGAAAAGTTTTTCAAAACATACTCAAAAAAATGGAGGTAAATATTAGGTTACAGTTGTCAACTCTTCTAGGCAATGGTGATAAATGTTATGCCGTAGTTGGCGCTATTTTTAAAAATAAAAATTATAAAATCAGTATTTTATAATATATGGAATCACAGCATTTAAATAAAGTAAAGACAATCAACCAGAAAACTTGGGGATTCAAAAATGTCTTACCCTTGTTTGCTATCGAAAGAAATGTTCTTGCTTGTACAATAATAAAACTAAATTAAATGTTGAATAAAATAAAAAAACAACATTTTAATAATTGTCAAAGCAATTCAAAAGAACAAACAAATTTAAATCTTTTTGTTAAAGCCACAATCGATATTTTTTCCGAGCCCTTGACAACCCTATTCTAGACGTTTTCCAACACCGATCGAAGAGACCGAATTTGTTTTTAGGTAGACTTCCGATATTTAGCTTGAAAAGTGAGTTAACACGGCCCGTAGGGGCGATTAAACCAATATATTTGGTAAACCAAAGAAGCAACCAATTGGCGGTCAGCAGATAAAACCAAAAACGCTGGAGAAACTGCTGCTTTTTGGCCAGAAATTACCGCACAATCTGCGCAGCTCCTGTGATGTAACCACACGGCAAACTGCCAGAGGGCCATTTATTATTTGTTATTATTATGGATTCAATATACTGATACTGATAGTGATTTCCCCCCTCCAGCAGCATGACCGCCGTGTTCCGCGTTGGCCTGGTGCGGCTCGTCAGCCGCGCCACCCAGTCGCCCAATCTTCTCCAGGCGCAGGCGAACGCCCTGCCCGCCGCCTTCCAGCAGCGATGCAGCATCTCCGGCAAGACGATGCGGGGTGGTCCCCGGGTGCCCAAGGCTGCGCCGTATCCGTACAAGACGAAGAAATATAGCCTGGTCAATGCGTTCTTCGACAAGACGTCCAAGCGCTTCGACGAGAACTCCAAGGTGATCTGCGTGGAGGGACCCATCGCCGGCGGCAAGTCCAAGTTCGCCAAGGAGCTGGCCGAGGAGCTGGATATGCAGTACTATCCGGATGTGAATCTGGACCGGATCTACATCAATTCGTATGGCTATGACATGCGCAAGGTGGATCCCCAGCTGCCGCCCAATTGCCGCAGCTACGATGTGCGCAACTTCTGCCAGGATCCCAGCCACAATCTGGCCGCCCAGTTCCAGATCCGCATGTACATGCTGCGCTACTCGCAGTACATTGATGCTCTGCAGCACATCTTCAGCACCGGCCAGGGTGTCGTCCTCGAGCGCAGTCCCTACTCGGACTTTGTCTTCATGGAGGCCATGTTCCGGCAGGGCTACCTGTCCCACGGCGCCCGCTCCGTGTACAACGAGCTGCGCCAGAACACCATCGGGGAGCTGCTGAAGCCGCATTTGGTCATCTATCTGGACCAGCCGGTCGAGGCCGTCAAGCGGCAGATCAAGGCGCGCAACGTGGACTACGAGGTGCAGTCGAAGGTGTTCAGCGATGCGTACCTGAACGATATGGAGCAGCTGTACAAACAGCAGTACCTCAAGGACATCTCCACCCATGCCGAGCTGCTCATCTACGACTGGACGGCCGGCGGCGAGACCGAGGTGGTCGTCGAGGACATCGAGCGCATCGACTTCGACCAGTTCGAGGCGGACTCGCACAACAAGAAGATGCTCGACTGGCGTTTCCCCCTGGAGGCCGAGTGGTGCGAGGCCCGCATCAAGTACTGCCACGAGAAGCCCGATCTGATGAACTACTTCAATGTGCCGCGTTTCGACGTTCCCGAGTTGCTGCGCACTGCCGACGAAAGCAAAGTGTGGCGCGATGTCTGGTACAATGTGAGTGCGCAGCTCAAACGTATCCATTATCTCACTTTAATTTGTACTTTTTCGCCCGCAGGCTCCCGGCATGAAGTACCGTCCTGGCTTCAATTCGGAAATGGGTGACGGCGGTCTCCTCACCAAAACGAAAATTGGCATCAACGAGGCCATCTAGAGGGTTTTTGCTTTGCTTTTCAATTGAAATCATCTGGCGAAATGTGTTAATTATCTAATAAACAATCTAGTAAAATAATGGTAAAGCCAAACTCTGAGGGCAACGAATTTTCTATTGTTCTATAGCCCCTACATTTCAACAGCTTTTATAGTTGTATTACTATAACATAAAAATTAATAACTAAATTCGTGCCTTTAAAATTAATACTCATTTATATTTCAGATCAGATTTTATATTTTATTACTATAAACTTTAAAGTAAATATCTAGATTTGTGTGATTTCAAGCAAAATTTAGGACTTAACTGGCCAATACAATTAAATTTTCTTTTTCAACATAATTTAGTTAATTAATGGAACATTTTTATTTCCAAAAGTCTCCAAATTTAAGTAAGAAAATGTTTGCCATTTAAAATTAGCTTAAAACTTTTCTTGATTGGCCTGTACAATCTAAACTTTATTCTTCAAAATCATTTTCAACATTCAAATGACAAAATTGATTTATTTAACTGCTAAATAAACATATTTTAAAATAATAAGTAGGTAATTTTCAGTTTAAAAACTCAAACTGCACAGTTTAATTTCGGAAATTCGTTTAATTAATGCATTATATTAGAGAATATTTTGTACACTTATTTAGCACTATAACCCTCGCTTGCGCTATGGAACATTTTCGAGTCCAGTCTCCACGGGCTTCTCGATCTCCTCGATCTCCGATCAATCGCTGTCGTAGTCGTTCTTTCCAGCACCGCCGCCCACGGCGGTGAGAGGGCGACGCGATTCCTCGTCGGAGCCGTAGACCACGTCCTCGTCGGAGTCGTCGATCATGGAAATGGCTGGATTGTCCTTGGTGACGGCCAGTTCCGCTTGGGCAAAGCGTCCGTCCGGCGAGTACACATACGCCATGGTGTACAGGTAGAAGTTGAGCAGCCCGTAGAAGCACATGAACTGCGACGAACTGCGATAGGTGGTGTTCAGTGAGGCCACAAAGTTGTCCTCGAGGATGCCGAAGCCGAAGCGGCAGGTGGTCACCGTGATGGATATGGAAAGCACGAACAGCATGAGCAGCGTGAGGAACTTCAATCGCATATCTGTGGAAACGAATGTTAAGTTAAGTTAAGCATCAGGGGCACATCCCTCACCGAAATAGGGCATGGATCGAAGTTCGGTATATGCCCGCAGCAGCAGCAGCACCAGATACAGCACATACATGCAGCTGGCGATGTAGAAGAACATCTTGAAGCCCTGGAAATATATATGTTTGTATTTTACAAATTTAAATATCTAATCCAATGTGCACCCACATTGTAGTTCTTGGTGTCCACAAAGTGACTGTATGTGGGATCCCTCAGCTCATTGCACTTCTCCCAGGTGGCCAGGACGATGGCGCACAGCCAGATGGGCAGGACGACGATCACCTTGACCAGGTAGAAGCGTACAAAGCTGCGCTCGTTCTGCCGCAGTCCATGGTAAATGCACAGCCAGAACATGAGCAGGGCACAGAGGAAGGTGGCCTGGAGGATGGCGTCCAGCATTCCGGGCAGCCACGAGTTCATCAGGAATATCAGCGGAAAAAAGGGATCTGCGGAGGGGAGATCTTTGCTATAAACCCCTCATTTATGGGTCTCATTTAAGGCCGGAACTTACTGTCATACAGCAGAAGCAGGGGCAGCAGAACAGACAACCATCGCTGCTCAATGGACCAATCGTAGATGGGATATTTGCGCAACGTGTGGGCATACCAGCACTGGAAGTAAGAGTATATTATTTAAATAAACTTAGCAAATAAACCTGGAAAACATAATGAAGAGAATGGAACCTATTTCTAGTTCCTTTTAAAATACAATTTAATTATACCTTTGCAGAGGGTATTATAATTTCAGTCAGAAGTTTGCAACCCTATAAAGTATATATATTCTTGATCAGGCAAGTCGATCTAGCCATGTCCGTCTGTCCGTCCGTTTCTACACAAACTAGTTTCTCAGTTTTAAAGCTATCTGCATGAAACTTTCCCAAAAGTTGTCTTTCTATTGCAGGTAGTAAATAAGTCAGAACGAGCCGGATCGAACGACTGTAGCATATAGCTCCCATGGGAACAATCAGAAAAATAAATGAAAAAAATTATAACTTTGCTGTTTTTTAATTTTTCGGTTTTCGGTTTAAATTTCACCAAAATCGTACGACTTTATCATATAGCTCCCATAGAAACAATAAAAATATAAAAAAAAAATTTTTTAAATGTAATTTTTCTAATTTGAAATTTTTTTTTACTCTTTTTGTCTTATTATTAATTTCAAAATTTAAGCTTCAATGTTTTTAAACATATACGCAAGTGAAACATAATTTTAATGTTTTCAAGAATATTTAGTTTTTTGCAATAGCTGCAAGGGTATATGAACTTCGGCTTGCCGATGTTTCCTTCCCTTCTTGTTCTTAAGTTAAATTCTATTTAGAGATTTATAATACTTACTAAAACAACGAAGGTGAAGAGCAGAAAGATGCACCTAAACCAGATCTCAATCTGCGTGAATTCCGGACTGTAGGTCTTGAACTAAAGTTGAAAGTTAGTAAGCATTCATAAAGAAAGTACATGCCACTCACGTAAAAGGTAATGCTGCGTATGTTATACTTTTGGTGGAAGGACTCCAGTCCGTAGAAGCGCACGGTTATGATGTAGTGGGCGTAGTCCAGGAATCCCAGATGCATCACCGTGAACTCCTCGCAGTCGTTGCGCACGCAGACCAAGTGCCGTGTCCGGTTATGCGAAACTCCGGAACCCAAAACGCTCTGCGGCTTGTGCTGCTCATTGATGCCATCGATGGAGACGCTGACCTGGAAACTCTTGTCGTAGCGCTCGTCTGGGAAATGGTAAAATCACAGAAAATTCTAATATCTACATATTTGAAGAGGATTACATTGATGTTAAATTCAATAAATAAATAAATTACAAATTAAATTTGTACGCTGAAAAGATTTCCGGTCGGAATGATTTACAAAAATTTCGTTTTAGTTATAACTAAGAAAGTAGAAAAAATAAATTTAAAGTTCGGTTTCGGAAGACTCTTTTTTAAACATTTAAAAAAAAGGTAAGATTTTAATTTCTAATTTACAGAAAACAGCGATTTTTACCAAAATTTATATCTTATAAAAACAAACACCTTAAAACTTAAAATACTTTTAATTAGAAAATGATTATCGTTTGGTTAGAACTAAAAAAAAAAAATAAAATATGGTTTTTTTTTTAACTTCTAATTTATAACAAATATTTAAACAAAATTCTATTAAAAGATAGATGATATAACTATATTATAAAGCTTATAAATAAACAAGATTTTGAATTATTATGTTAATAAAATATTGCTTTGATTAATATAATAAAACATTTAAAAAGAAATCAAAGAAAGGGAAGGAAAGCAGATGTTATTACAAAATGTAATATTTTATAGAACGACTATAACTCGATTTTTATGCGTATATGTTTTAAAAATAAAAAATTAAATTCTTTGTCCATTACTTTATCTCGAAAATATTCGTAAAGCAAAAGGTATAATTTATATTTTTTCATTTATTTTTCCGGTTGTTCCTATGTGAACTATATGGTATAGTCTCTTGATTTGGACTTGATCCAGAAGACTTTTGAGATAGTGTTTTAGCAGGGTTAAAACTGGTTAGTTTGCTTATAAACGGACGGACAGACATACGGACACGGCTAGATCAAATCAACCAGTGATGCTGATCAAGAATCCTTCAATTACCCACCGTCGTTGTTGTCCGTCACCAGTTTGGCGATGAGCCACAATTGCTGGGAGTAGGTGGTGGTCAGGGGGGACTTCATGGCGAAGGGTCCGGTGGCGAGGACCGTCGGGCTGTGGGCCAGCGAGGTGTTAGCAAGGATCTGCTGGGCGGTCAGCGAGGAGGTGCTGGTGATGGGCGGTCCCGTCAGCCCGATGACGATGCCCAGGCCGAAGCAGGTGAAGAAGCCCAGGAAGACCATGACGAACTCGCGCTTGTGCATCGAGTAGAGCCGCATGTGGACGGACCGCTCGCAGCGGTCGTGGTGATAGGCGGGCGAGATGTACCTGCTGAAGTCGCTGAACAGGTCGCTGAACTGCGACAGGGACGACTTGAGGCGCAGCAGGAGTCCGCCGGACGGCAGCTGGTAGGCGTAGCCCAGGCCAGAGGCATCCGCATCCGCATCCGAGTGGGGCTTGGCCATGGCCGCTTGGCAGAATTCTCGGGATTCTCTCGATTCTCTGGCTGATGCTCGGTGTGCTCCTTCTGCCTAAAATTCCCCTAATGCATCTCCTTTCCTCCGTTAGACTTTAGGTTTTTCCCAAATTTTTGGCAGACCTTTTACCATCCGCTCGACGTTTGTGCGCCTTTCGTGGAAAATATCGATTTTGGCCAACACCTCGCATATGTTTTGGCCCGCTTGTGGGGGTGGCTGGGCGAGATTGGGTGGTGGACGGACCATCAGTCGAGTTGTTTGCACTTTCACATGCACTGCGCATGCCCACTCTTATCACGACCGAAGGTAAATAAAGCCAAATCCTCTCGAAAAGGGGGCTTGTCAAGGGACAAAGGTAAATAAAAATCACTTCTAGTTGCAGTTTGAACATAATGGGTATGCAATATAATCAATAAATTTACAAATCGTTAGGGCTTACGTCTATCTAGGTTATTTATTAGTCCCAGTATTTGATCTGGCCATCCCAGCCGGCGGTGACCAACTTGCTGGCCTCGTGCGGATGCCATAGGGCACTGATGCACACGCCGTCGTGCGCCTGCCACTTCTTGTACATCTTCGTGGTCTTCCAGTCCCAAATGTAGCACTTGCCGTCGCCATCGCCCGACACCAGGTAGCTCATGTCCGGCGAAAAGTCCAGCTGGCAGGCGTAACCCGAGACCATGTGCCCGGTGAAGGTCTTCTTGCGGTTCATCTTGAAGCGATTGAGGGCGGAGAAGATGACAATCTTGTTGTCCAGCGACTGGCAGGCCATCCACTTGCCGTTCGGCGCCAAGGTGACGGCCGGCATGGAATGCATAGTCGGATCGGCAATGTACTTCATGTCCACGGGTATGTCCCACTCCCAGATGCGCATCGATTTGTCGTCCGAGGTGGTCACAAATCGACGATTGTCGTCCACAAAGGTGATGGTGCTAACCGAGCCCAAGTGCCGGTCGTATTCCTGCACAATATCTCCGCTGCGCGTGTCCCACTGTGGGATTCAACAGAATAAATAAATATATAAATTGCGAGCTATTTGAGCTAGTTACTTACGCAAATGATCTTCTTATCGGAGGTGCCGGCCACGAACAGATGCTGCTTGCTATTATCCGGATGGAACTTCACACAGAATGGCATTTTGCGGGTGGTGAAACGGGAGACCACATCGCCCGTTTCCGCATCCCACAGCTTTATGTAGCGATCGTAGGAGGCGGACAAGAAGTTGGTGCCCCTGTTGTTCCACGCAATGTCCTTGATGGCCTGCCGATGGCCAGAGAAGGTGCGAATGCATCGCCGCTCGCCATACACCTCCCACAGCTTCACCCGACAGTCCATCGAGCCGGAGAGCAGCAGATGTGCGGTCTTGGGGAACCAGCGAATGGATGAAATGCCCTTGTTGTGACCCGACCATGTGTGTATGTGCGCCTTGGGCAGGAAGCACTTGGGTGGCGGGGCATTCGAGCGCAGATTTACACCCAAATCATGCGGAGCGTGCAGATACGAGCGACCCTGGTAGTCGTAGGCATCCTTGACTGTTGGTGGTGATTAAGAAACAAAGAAAGGGATTTATAACATACAAATGCATTATATACCCAACTTGCATTATATACTCACTGTGCAGTGTGGACTTCTCCTCGAGCGGCTTGTCCTCGGGAATGCGTCCGCGCTTGTGCCGCTTGGACAGCAGCTCGTCCAGCTCGGCGCGCTCCTGTTCGTTGGGCTTGGCCACCGACACCTCGTTCTCGAACTTGCCCCACGGGCCCAGGAAGCCCTCGATGTCCTCGGGATGGTCGTTCTTCTCCTGCTTGCGCAACTTCTTCGCCTTGGGCGCCTCGAACACCGTCTTGCCATTGTCATCGTAGGCGGACTGCAGGTCACCCACAAACGACTGCCCGTCGGCCTGCTCGTCCACACTGGGATCCAAGGCATAGCCGTATGTGTGGAAGGTGCGTCGCTGATTCTCGAACTCGAAGGCATTGATGTGCGCCTTCTCCACATAGCCGGCCAGTGTGTTACGCGGCGCCCGCTGCTGCATGGTGAGATCCGGATGCTCCGGACCCTTCACCGGCGCATACATCTCTTCGTAGCGCGGATTGTAGGTTACCTCCTTGAGCGTGGGATCCAGAGTTCGGGGCACCGCCGAGGCTCCAAGGGGCACCACCGCCGGCGCCGCACACACCGCAATGGTCGTGGACAGCGAGTGCGTCTTGTCCACGGGCAGCAGATGAGCGGGAATGGTTCCTGATCCGGATTTGTTGGTGGCGTCCTCATGGTCCGATTCGCCCTCCGAGGAGCTGGCGTACGTCTGCAGGCCCAGCATCTAGAGGCTGCGCACGAGCTCCGTATACTTGTTGACAAAATGCTGAAGGTAGATCACAACCAGAGTGTAGAGCAGGAAAACAAAGACGTTTATAGATATTTCCATCAATTTGTAGGTTTTTTGGCCCGATTGGTAGAGATGGCATTCCGAGTCGCTGTTATCGGCTATCGGTGGTTTTAATCGGAGGGTCACACTAATCGTGCACGGTGTCGAAGTGGAAGGTAGCAAAGTCGAAATAAAAATAGTTTATGTAATCCCTAACCGATTGATTCTCTGAATTGTCCTTTAATTCGTTTAAATTTGAGGTAAACCTTTTCAAAAAGTAGAAAGAAACTGAATATTTATATTTGATGGTTCTTTGATTGTTATCGGTGTGGTCACACTGCTGATAAGACAATGTTTGGCCATACGGTCATACTGAACCAGACAAGGGATTGGCAACTTTGGATTTCTGTAAATACAAATACCATCGTTATTGAGCAAACGAACAGGTACATTAGTCACGATGACGGGAGGCAACCACTGGAGCTACGACATCCTCAAGCAGATCGCCATCGAAGGATGCACGGAGGATGTGGAGCAGCTGAAGGCGCTGTTCGCCGATGAGATTGGTTCGCGGCGGCGAATGGATTGTATTCGGAGCGTTGAGGATCTGATTGACTGCCTGGAACGGGCCGACGAACTGGCCGAGGACAATGTGGAGCCACTGCGTCGGTTGTCCATTAACCAGCCGAAGCTGATCGAGGCTCTGGCTGGCTATACACCGCCGGCAAATTTCCGGGATCAGTCGGTGAATCTGTACCAGGAACTGCGCTTGGCCGAGGAACTGCGTCATCAACTTCGGATAGCCCCGGTTCAGTCGGTAGCTGTGGCTTCAGCACCCACGCCTGCAATCCAGAACTATACCACTCCGGCTGCATTTACGGATCGCAAACGTGCGGCCATCTTCAAGAAACTATCCGAGGAACTGGGACGCTACTGGCGACGTTTGGGTCGATCGGCGGGCATTGGCGAGGGCACCATGGACGGCATCGAGGAGCGCTATCCGCACGATCTGAAATCCCAGATCCTGCGTCTGTTGCAGCTCATCGAGGAGGACGACTGCCACGATCCCAAACACTTCCTCGTTCGCCTTTGTCGCGCCCTGGGCGACTGTGGTCGCAATGATCTGCGCAAGAACGTGGAACAGATTATGTCGCACTAAGTAAACGGTTGACATTAGTTTTAATTCACACTCTTTTGTATTTTATGTGATGGCCCTGATAAGCCAGGGGAAATCCCCTGCCAAAATTGATAAGTCTTGCGCCTTAAAGCCAACAGTGCCTCTTTTTGTTTGTCTATGGCTAATGATAGGGTGTAACCCAAATTTGCAATGTGCTGTCGAATTTGTTATTATCAAACAAAGGGAAATTCGCTTAAGTTAGATGTGAACTGTATAAAAAAATTAATTGAATTGCCAAATCTTTCATATAATATTGCTATTAATAAATCCAAAACCTATTAAACGAATGAAGCTTATTGTTAAATAAATTTTAAATAAATAAATAAACCATATGACTGCTTACACAATGAAGTTCAAGGCTATTCAATCAATATTAGCCCTATTAAATAAATAAATTCCTTAAATATATAAATTTTATTTTCATCGTTATTTTATTTGAATGACAAATAAGTTAAGTCATAGAAATAAGCATATCTAAATGCAGACTTATAGGATTGTGATTAACAGAAGTAATTTAACAAATCCAATTTTAATATACAATTTTAAATTTTCTTATCATTCAAAATCGAATTTTCAATTTTAAAAATGATAGTTACACTCTATCACTTAATTATCGATAAGACCAGCTATCAATTATCGCATCCTTCGTGGTGAATGGCGACAATGTTAAATCGTCGTTCTCCTAACATTTTTATGTAGACGATTATCAATTTCTTAACATTGATCTAACATAGGCAGCGCTGCGGCAGAGGAAAATCAGAGTAGAGATGGAAAAACATCAATGTCGCCCCGCCAAACATCGATAACTTGAAAACATCGATGACTTCGATGTTGGTATCGATGTTTATCCACCTCTAGACTGCAACACGTGCGCCTTATTTTATTCTGAAATTCTGTTTTTAACCATTAAAGTGTATTAAATAATTAAAAACACAAACTAATCCAGCAGAATGTCGATTCGTGAGAAGCTGCTGATGAAGAAGATAGTAAAGCGGGAGAAGATGAAGAAGGAGCTCACGCAGAAAAAGGCAAAAAACAAGCCCCAAACTCAGGAGCCACCCAAGCAAAATGGCAATAAACCCAATCAAAAACAGCAGAAACACAATAAAAAACGTGTGCAGGAGGAAGAGGGTAGGTCTTGCGACATTTTGAAAATGTATAAAAGTTGACAAATTATTTCAAACTCGGCAGATGACGATTTAGAGTCCGATTTCCAGGAGGCGCCGCTGCCCAAAAAGAAGCAACAGAAACAGCCGCCAAAAAAGCAACAAATTCAGGTGGCCAACTCGGATTCAGATTCAGATTCTGATGAAGATGATCAGGAAGACGAGGATGTGGAGGAGGAGGAGGAAATCGATGATGACGAGGATGTGGCCAGTGGCAATGAAGAAGATGAGCAGGAAGAAGGTCAGTAATAGAATAAAATCCAACTTAACTATAAAGATCTTTTTCGATTTTTTACTTTCAAGAAAGATATGTTGCTTGACTTTGTTTAAAATCTTAAAAAATGCACGAAACATCAACATCGTTTTCAAAATAAAGCTATACCCCGTTCTTAAATCCTTTTCGAAAAACTTTTAATTAGATTGATTCCAATATGAATAACTTAAAAGATTGTTAAAACAAAAGCAACTTACTTTTATAAAACTAAGTAATTTATATTAAGACACTAGTTCTTAAATCTTCCAAGAATCCTAACAAAAAAGACAACATAATGATGATTTAAAGGCGAATTTGAGCAGCTCTGGATCAGCGAGTTAATGCTGCCAAGAGCAGGCATGAAATCCATTTTAAAACCAACTGAATTTGATCAAATTTATACGAACTTCTTACATAATAAACCTTTATTAACAAACATAACTTATTTCAGATGAAGATGAGCCGGTGCCGGCGAAGAAGACGAAGCTGTTGCCCAACAAATCCAAGCCACAGAATGGCAAACCAGCCAAAGACGATGAGCCCTTCACCGTGGAATCCTCTCTGGCGGCCCTGGATTACCGCGATTCGGATGATCGTAGCTTTGCCTCACTGAAGGGAGCCGTTTCCGAGGCCACACTGCGAGCCGTCAAGGAGATGGGCTTCACCGAGATGACGGAAATCCAGGCGAAATCACTGACGCCCCTGCTGAAAGGCCGCGATCTGGTGGGCGCTGCCCAGACCGGATCCGGCAAAACGCTGGCCTTCCTGATACCCGCCGTCGAGCTGATCAACAAGCTGCGCTTTATGCCCCGCAACGGCACCGGCGTGATCATCATCTCGCCCACGCGAGAACTGTCCATGCAGACATTCGGTGTGCTCAAGGAGCTCATGGCACACCACCATCACACCTACGGCCTGGTAATGGGCGGCTCCAATCGCCAGGTGGAGAGCGAAAAGCTGGGCAAGGGCATCAACATTCTGGTGGCCACACCGGGACGATTGCTCGACCATCTGCAGAACTCGCCCGATTTTCTGTACAAGAACTTGCAGTGCCTGATTATCGACGAAGTGGATCGGATACTGGAGATTGGTTTCGAGGAGGAGCTCAAGCAAATTATCAATCTGCTGCCAAGTGAGTAGCCAAATAAAATCGGAAAATCATTCTTATATCTATATACATTTTCTTGACATCTTTAGAACGCCGCCAGACAATGCTCTTCTCGGCCACACAAACGGCTCGCATTGAAGCCCTATCCAAATTGGCCCTCAAGTCGGAACCCATTTATGTGGGAGTCCACGATAACCAGGATACGGCGACGGTTGATGGACTCGAACAGGGCTATATTGTCTGCCCCTCGGAGAAGCGACTGCTCGTACTCTTCACGTTCCTCAAGAAGAATCGCAAGAAGAAGGTGATGGTTTTCTTCTCGTCCTGCATGTCCGTCAAGTACCACCACGAACTCTTCAACTACATCGACCTGCCGGTGACCTCCATCCATGGAAAACAGAAGCAGACAAAGCGAACGACCACCTTCTTCCAGTTCTGCAATGCCGAGTCGGGCATTCTGCTCTGCACCGATGTGGCGGCTCGTGGATTGGACATTCCGCAGGTGGACTGGATCGTGCAGTACGATCCCCCAGATGATCCGCGCGAGTACATTCACAGGGTGGGTCGTACGGCCAGAGGATCGGGCACTTCCGGCCACGCCCTCCTCCTGATGCGACCCGAGGAGCTGGGCTTCCTGCGCTACCTCAAGGCCGCCAAGGTGCCACTCAACGAGTTCGAGTTCTCCTGGCAAAAGATAGCCGATATTCAGCTGCAGGTGAGCAAATAAGCTACTTTTTAATTCACATGACTTAGTTACTGAAATAGGCATAATATATATATAACATTGTCAATGGAAATCTTTAAACTTTTGAAATGGTCAATGTTAAACTGCAGAAAAACCTTTTGAGATTTGCTTAATTGACATAAAGCTTATATTGCAAATTTTTAATACAATTTGAATACAAATATCTATTTAACCAATGACTGTATTAGAAAAATGTAATAATAACTGTGATCTATGACATCGTAAGACCTTTAATGACACATAAAGAATTCATTTAATCACACAAACATTTTTAAAAATATAAAAAAATTTTATTGCAATTTTCGATACATCATAAAGTAAACAAATATTGGAGTTTTGTTTGTTTTTTTAAATTTTTTTTTGCTTTTAAATTTTTTTAAATTTATTATTACGGTTTTTCCTCAAATTCTAATTGCTAACTACATTTCTGGATAATAAAAACTATTAAATGTTTATGTTAGATCACCTTGCTAATCTAAAAACAATTATTAATTTAGAACACATTACAAGATTTAAGATAACGATGTTAACAGATTGTCTTCTTAGTGGAAAACACATTTTTCCAGGATAGGTTGACCAAATTAGTTTAACAAAAGCTAGTGAAAGCTTATACTTATAATTATTTAAAAATGTATATAAATAAAAGTATATAAACCTATAATATATATATATATATATTTAAGTATAAAGTAAATAAAACTTTTCTCTTCCATTGCAGTTGGAAAAGCTGATCGCCAAGAACTATTTCCTGAACCAGTCGGCCAAGGAGGCCTTCAAGTCGTATGTGCGTGCCTACGATTCGCACCAGCTGAAGCAGATCTTCAACGTGAACACGCTGGACCTGCAGGCGGTGTCGAAGAGCTTTGGGTTCCTGGTGCCGCCCGTGGTCGACCTGAAAGTGGGCGCGGCCAAGCGGGATCGACCCGAGAAGCGGGTGGGCGGCGGTGGATTCGGGTTCTACAAGAAGATGAACGAGGGATCGGCCTCCAAGCAGCGGCACTTCAAGCAGGTCAACCGCGACCAGGCCAAGAAGTTTACGCGTTAGTTGTAGATTTAGGCAGAGATACCATGGCATATTGTAAATCTGCTACTTTATTTCATTGTGTGTGTATACATATAGGCAAAAGATATAAAACTAAATGTTTCCATTTCACGAATTCACGTAACCATTTGGCCGGGCATCATCATCATCACCATCATCATCAACATCGGCGTCAACTCGCATCCCACTCGATCTCTCGATGCGGATGCGGCTTCTCCTTATTTGTGGCTTGTTTGTTTCAAATGTTTATTGTTGTCGCCGATTCGATTCGAGTTGAGTTGAGTCGCCTCCCCAAATTTGGCCGATCGCGCTTTTTATTTCGTGTTTCGCCCGCTAAATTGTGCCAGTTTATGGCCCACGCTCGCCCAGTTCATCTAAAACTGTTGCGACTTGCTGTTGTCCCAACTAATCGATAATCGGGCGCTTAATCAATTGACTGACTTACGGGCGCCCAATTGAAAGAGCATTGGGCCGCGATCAATTTTCCAATAAAACTTGTTCAACCAGCCCATGCTTTTACAGATTCCGTCACCCACATAACCGAAAAATGGTTAAGAAATTACAGGCCACCTTGGCTTAAAAATATTGCTATTGTCATTTCTCCATGACTCAAATTGGAATTCTAAGCTTAAACCAGGTCGAAACAGTGTTAGAGTCTGTCTCTGTTCTAGTAAGATTTTACAAAATTATAATATATTTGAAACTGAAGACAGTCTAAATATATCTTTAGTTAGATCAAAGTAAACTAAATTTTTCATTTGATGAGTTAGGAGATAGTTTATAAATCCGTCTTTTAAAATGAAAATATTTACAATTTATGTTTTACTTTTTATTTGCAACTTTAAAAGTTACTTGGCCTTGTAAAATAAGTTAAATAATTTTCAAATACGTTTTAATTGGATTTATAGAAGTTATAGTAGATTTTAATTTTCAAAAGGGAGTTCCTTTTAAATTGCAGTACTAGTATAAGTTTATAATTATTAATTGGTAATTTAACTAAACAGCTTTAAACATTGCATAATTGTAGCTAAACTGACTGAACTTTTCGAGTTATAGACGTTCGACTGTAAGTGCGCAGCACTCGGCAGCCATCGAAATGTATCAGCAAATTGGATGTTGTTGGGGGCGTGGGCGTGACGAATGTTAAAGACCACAACGCCATACGCCCACACACACGCCCCTCCTCTGGGCATTAACACTTGTTTCTAAAAGCCAAGCTAACGAGGTTTCTGTGAATGAAAAAGCCAACGCGCCGGAGTTTACCCATTCATGCGCATTTTGTGAATCGTTGCTTAGTCTGCGGCTTTTTGGATCTAATCAGCTGGTCGAGCACAATATGCAAAGTGGAAACTTTATGAATGGACGTGGACTCGGAAAACGGATGACGTGGGGGACTGGTTCGATTCCACCTGTGGGACGAGAAGTGTGACATAGAAAATGCATTCGCACCGGCGACAAAAGTGTCGGTAGAAATATCAAAAAAATTACTTTTGTAATATGTTTATTAAATGTTTAAAGTATTTACAAGATACTGAAAAAATGTTTGAAAAAAATATTATAAATAACTTTTCAATAACATTTTACAATTTTTTTTTTGTTAATGCTGGATTGTACTTTTAAAGAAACAATTTAATAAACAAATGCATTTTAAGCTATTTTCAATATTTAACCAAAATGATATGTCGGATTTGTAAAATAGGAAGATTTGATAAGTTTCATTTTGATAGCTCTTAATCTAAATGATACATTTTATAGTATTTTTTAAATAATTTAAAGAGCTACATTTTTCTTCCAATATGCTGACTAAAATATTATACTTAAAGAGTTTTTTTTAAAGCACAGCTTTATTGACGTTTTAGTTGGTGGCTTAGCCTGCATATTGGTGCATATGCGATGGTGTATCTGAATGATACTCACTATCTGTGTGGGTTGTGCAGCTCAGCTTCTTTGTGGGCCCCAAAAACCCAAAAAAAAAAAAGTTGGAAAACCGGAGGCGCCCACACGACCGCGTGGCATGCGTAATGGAAACAACTGAAAACTGGTTAATGGCCGACTGCCTGGCTTTTTGGCCATCATATTGCTAATTACACACTCTCACACCGAACATTTCTGTGTCGGCGGTAAATTAAGAAAAGGAATCTTTAATTCGGCTTTTAATGCACAAAACCGTTAAATATCTTGGCCAAATTTGCATTTGGCCCAAACGTGCAGTGGACATAAAAGGATTCCTGCCAACAATGAGTGTTGGCCTTCGTTTGTGGAACCACTTCCTTTTAAGCAGGCAAATTGGTCAAAAAATTAAAGTGCATTTAAGATGCAACATTTTTGTTTATAACCAAATAAAGCTTAATAACTTACTTTGCTTTAAGGCAGCGATTCGATACAACACTATGGGACAGTTCAACCTCTTAGATTTAAATATATTTTTAAGCCCTTAAACAATGTTTATCAATTTATTAAAACAATGCGTCAGCCTAGCTAATCAGGCATAAACTTTTACAAAACCATATTAATAAATAAATAACCTTAAAAATCATGAACCTGATAAACAAAAGTTATATTTATTATGAATATATTAAATATTTAATATAATTTTTTTTCAAACAACAAAGCAAATAAAGAAAAGTACGATTATTTTGTTATTAATTATCCAAAATAAAATTTATACAAAACTTGAAGAAATTGTATATTTTTTTGTTGGTAAATATGCATATATTATCTGGTTCATACTTGAAATTGTAAGCAGATAGCTGTAAAAAATGAACAATAATACATTTTACCACTTTGAATTTGAAGTATTTTCCTAGCCGCACTTAACAGCTGCTAGAAAACTTTTGTTTTGCGGCCAATTTTGGTTTTTTCAAAACCGAAAGTGCTACCAAAAACGACCTGCACACAAAGCCAGACACCACATAAGACCCAAAAGCCGAAAAAAGGAAAATTCCAAAGCCCTAGAGAGATTAACGGCCCACGGAAAACTTAACACTTCGGATCTGCCAGATGTCCAAAGAGAAAAATACAATACCAGGCGACGTGGGTGTGCGGATTGGAAAGGGCTTTAGTTTTTGGTCTCTTTGGCCCCAGAGATTTGAATCGGAAATCCATAAGCATACAATGTCTCAATCGCCACGCACATTGACACATATTTCAATGGCAGTAAAACTGTATAATGGGGCCGTATAATATAATGTCGGCCCACACACGCAGACCAATACGATACGAACTGATTCGATCGGTTTGAGCCAAGTGCACACACGAATTTGGTGGGACTTGCGGCCAGGCTTCGAAAAACTTGGCCAGGTGAGGTCCGGTGGTGGGCGCCTGCTTTCCAATGGAATGACCAATCCAATGTCCATCCATGTCTTCGTCCACTCCAAACTTTCACGTCTCATTTAAGTGCATGCGGGTGCAGCTGCACTGCAAATAATTATTACTATTCTAGCAAAAGATATTCGATCTGTGACATCAATATTATAAATATTATATATATCGAATAAGTATAAGAATAAATAAATTTACAAATTTGCTTTACAAGTTTTAACATTCTTGAATTTTATTTTTACCATTCTGAAATATTTTTTTTTAAGAGGCTGTCTTAAAGATCTCATTTGACTAATAATAAAATAAACAAATATAAAATCAGATTTTAAAACTTTTCTCTTCAAAAATTCTATTTGTATCAAAAAAAGTTTGTTTTTGATAGGCTGTTTATTATTCCTTAAGAATCAAAAATGGTTTGCAAACACCTAGAATTTATAAATTTACGTTTTTGAAACATATACAACGGTTTTCCCCAGTGTGATGTTTTTATAAAATACGCCAAATACACGGAAGCCAGCGAAAAGTGTCTTTTTGCGATGGAAAGTAAAAGTTGTCGCCGGCCTAGGGTCGCTTTATATGGTGTGTCCATCGAAATGCTCGCGAATGCCAATTTTCCCACATACATTTTGTGGCAAAGTTAACCAAGTTAACGCCAACATTTGGTCAGTACGCGTTTGGGGGGCTCATTTGCATGGTGTTTTGGCACCAGATGCTAGCCCCCGCATTTATGTCCGGCAAAACAAAGTGCCGCTTGGTTCTAATCTGCCAGCAATTTCCGTGCGCAATTACTGCCTTCACTTCTCAGGCTGTCTTAATTAATTCAAATTCAACGCCAACGCGCCAAGTGGTGGCCCAACCAGCGACCAGGTGGCAACGCTGGGGATTAGTGGCTATTTAAGCAATCGGGAATTTTTTAGCCGAAAATTTATCACTAACTTTTGTATTCAGCTGCTTTGGACATGTTATGCCATTTATCAACTTAGTTAATCGCGGATTAGGGCATAATATGTGAAATAAGCTAACCAGCTGCGCAACTCTGTTTGAACAGGGTGGCAACGCCTGAGAGTGATCTTGCATGCTGGCAACGCGGTGGCAAGAGAGCGAGGCCTGAGAGAGCGTGACGTCACAAAGCTTAAAATGTATTGTGTTTGATATGGGAAAGGTAACAAATTTAGTTGTTATTTTAGATTCGGTTTGTTAAATACTTTACATTAATTTTTAACAGCCATATGAAATTTATATAGATTTTGTAACAACTATTTCAAATAAATAATTTAATAAAATGTAAAATTTAACTTCAGTTTTTGATGATTAAACTAGCGAATATTAAGCAAAAAATTATAAGCACTTGTATAATGAATATACAGTTATAACGAGTTGTAAAGTTTTACACTTTTTAGTTTAAATTATGTTATTCCGAACGTTTTATTAATGAAAATCTTACTTTGTGACGTCACGTGGCGGGAGAGCGGAGAGCTCATCGTTGTCCGAAAACGCAACCCCACGATCGCACAGCCATGATCTCACACTTACAGCGTTTTGTGCTCTTCACTTCGCATTCAGTTTCATTCAGTTTTTCTCTTTCTTCGCGCACGGTTCAGTGGTAGGAATCGTTCAGAAAAGTCCCGAGATCCGTTCGCTATTCCCCGACTCGAATAAAATCAATATACATAATAAACAAACGAAAAAGGAATCCTCAAAGAAGTGTGTTTCAAAAACTTTCCAAAACAAGCGAAACGAAGAACAAAAGCCAAAAGCCATCCAGCAGCAACAACAAATACATAATCAGC